AGCGACCGTTCCCCTTGTCTCCTGCTGCCCGTCGGTCCCTACAGGCTGGGGCCCCGGCTTCGCTTCTCCTGTCCCGCGGACGGGGCGGCTGGGCTCGGCCGAGAAGGGCCCCCCCTCCCCCGTGCGCCTGGCAGCTTCTTCCTGCGGGTCTCTCAGTCCCCGAGGGCAGGAGATCGCGCCGCTCTGAGCCCGTGCGGAGCTCCGGACCCTCTCCGCCGGATCCGCACCTCGGCCCCAGAGGACGCCTCTGAGCACGTGCAGAGCGCCTCTGCCTCTCCGGCGGCTCAACAACTCCGGAGGCTCTTCAGCCTCGGAGCACGTGCAGAATGCCTCGACAGCTCGGGCCCTTAGAGAGCCTCTGAGCATGTGCAGAGCTCCTCTCCCTCTCCGCCGGCTCCTCACCTCGGTCCCCGAGAACGCCTCTGAGCACGTGCAGAGCGCCTCTGCCTCTCCGGCGGCTCAACAACTCCGGAGGCTCTTCAGCCTCTGAGCACGTCCAGAATGCCTCGACAGCTCGGGCCCTTAGAGAGCCTCTGAGCATGTGCAGAGCTCCTCTCCCTCTCCGCCGGCTCCTCACCTCGGTCCCCGAGAACGCCTCTGAGCACGTTCAGAGCGTCCGGACAGCTCGGCCCCTGAGAGAGCCTCTGAGCACGTGCAGAGCGCCTCTGCGGCTCAACATCTCCGGAGGCTATTCAGCCTCTGAGCACGTCCAGAATGCCTCGACAGCTCGGCCCCTGAGAGAGCCTTTGAGCATGTGCAGAGCTCCTCTCCCTCTCCGGAGGCTCCACACCTCGGTCCCCGGGTGCGCCTCTGAGCACGTGCAGAGCGCTTCTCCCTCTCCGCCGGATGCATACCTCGGCCCCCAAGAACGCCTCTGAGCACGTGCAGAGCGCCGTTCCCTCTCCGGCGGCTCCACAGGTTCTGAGCCCGTGCAGAGCGCCTCGACAGCTGGGCCCCTGAGAGAGCCTCTGCGCATGTGGAGAGCGCTTCGACAGCTCGGCCTCTGAACGCGCCTTTGGGCACGGACAGAGCGCCGTTCGCTCTCCGGCGCTTCGACAGCTCGGCTCCCGCGCGAGCGCCTCTGTGCACGTGCAGAGCGCCCGGACAGCTCGGCCCCTGAGAGAGCCTCTGAGCACGTGCAGAGCGCTTCGACAGCTCGGCCTCTGAACGCGCCTTTGGGCAGGGACAGAGCGCCGTTCGCTCTCCGGCGCTTCGACAGCCCGGCTCCCGCGAGCGCCTCTGAGCACGTGCAGAGCGCCGAGCGCCTCTCTCTCTGCGGCGTCCCCTCCCCCCCCCCGGGAGTTCCGCGGGGGGGGGGGGGGCCGGGGGGGGGGGGGGGG